TCTGCCTCCGAATCATCCCGATTTGGCTACTTCCTACAACAACATCGGTGGAGTGTATAACAACATGGGTGACTACTCGAAAGCACTTGAATTTTACGAAAAAGCACATAAAATAAAAGAAAAAGCTCTGCCTCCGAATCATCCCGAGTTGGCTACTTCCTACAACAACATCGGTGGAGTGTATAAGAACATGGGTGACTACTCGAAAGCACTTGAATTTTACGAAAAAGCACATAAAATAAAAGAAAAAGCTCTGCCTTCGAATCATCCCTCATTGGCTACTTCCTACAACAACATCGGTTTGGCTTATTACGGCAAAGGAGACTACTCAAAAGCACTATCATTCTTAGAAAAGGCACTTTCTATCTGGCAAAAATCACTTCCACCTAACCATCCTAATATTAAAACAGTCAAAAACTCAATTGACAATGTAAAAAAGAAAATGTAACTGTAATTTTTTCTTTTCACTTCCTCAATAAATTTATTCGCATTGCTATTCATTTCGATTTTTCTCGGCTCATTTTGGCTTACCCGCGCGCGCGCGACAAGGGAGAGATTCCTTGTCAATGCCATAGGTACCACAGGCGGACCACGCCGGACTGGTAGGGCAATGGCCGAAGGTATGCCGTATTAACACGGTAGGGACCAACGACTTATAGAGGCCTTCCCTAGTACTACACTGCTTCACTATGGCACGAAAGTTCCTGTCCCTATTGAATCAGAAAACGTAGTTGTCTGACTCACACTAATAACATTCATAACTCATCTCATCTCAAAAGTACTCATACTCATACTCATACTCATAATAACTGATCATATTTATTTTTTCTCGAAATAGATTATCTCAACTCAACTCAACATGTAAAAAAAATTTTTTTTTCCTACCTCTCAGTATTGTATCGTAGTTCATCTAAAAAAAAAGTATTGTTAAATATAAAGACAAATAATTTACCTTATTTAAAATATAATGATATCATTATCATTGTAAATAATATAATAATAATAATAAATAATGTACCCGGGTATATAATTACATTGTAATCTATCATATTGAGAAAACGCGAATGTACTGTTTTATGATGATACATCCATGTTTTTATATACACTATGGTTCATTGTTTAATATTCAACGGTTTTGATTGATTTTTCATCAATCACATCACACACGTGAATTGATATTTCTTCGTGTGTTTTAATTGATTTGACGATCAATCTTTATGTAGTGATATACGTATGTTTTTTAATTTTTTTTCACATCTGACGGACATCAATATCATGTCGTCGTCGTCGTAGTCGAAAAAAAAATATTCGTCTTATGTGTATATGTAGAGTGTGAGTTGAAAAAAATAATAACATTCATTGCCACACCCACACCCTTCATCACCATCTTCTGAAATAAAAATCTTCGAATATTTCATCACAAACAACATGAATTCGATCTACTCTGTTTCATAGTTTTTATTTAAGTAAAAAATTAATACTAAAAAAAAAATATGTTGACGCGAATGAAAGTGATTTTCAAGTTGCTGCACTCGATTCATTTGTTCAATTACTTTTAATTCACATTAATTGTAGTATACTAAACATTGATAAAATTTCTTGTATTTCTGATCCATCGCTTATTTTTGAATAGAATTTCTTACGAAATTTCTTATTATGTTGTCACAAAGCAAGTAAACATGACTTGCAACGTATGATAAGAAGAAAAGAAAAAAAAATATTTTCAAGAAAAATAAATTATTGTTCGAATTATATTTTTTAAAGTCTTAGCAGTATTAGACTTAGTTGTATATGATATTATTGTTGATAGTATTCAACATGAAGGTGATTAATGGAATTGTATTTCACGACAAAATGTCCATGGACTTCTTATTCATTTACAATTACATGTTACTATGGCATCATCTAAGGTTATTTTTCTTTCTTTGATAATCTTAGATTTCACTTTACTTTTTAGGATCAATCACTTTTGGATATTTATTCTACACAATTAGCAAATTTTATTGTTGTATCGTTATTTGAATTATGATTAATTGATCCATTTATTGTTACATTTCGAGCATTAACAAACAGAAAAGTACGTTTTTTTTTTATTCATGAAATTTTTCTAAATTTTAAATTGTTTTTTAGAATATCAATCGTCCTTTCCGTTTAGTTTGGTCCATAATTGGATTTATCTTCTATGATAGTACCATTTATTTGAATTTAAAATTTCTATGGTTTTATAATATCTCTAATTTTATTTTAGCTAAACAATTCTAAATAATTTTCATGAATTTTTAATTCATGATGAAACTATACATCATCTTGATACATTTTCATATTAATAATTTTCTTGGCTTTATAGATCGTACATTAGCTGGAAATTATTTACTTATTCAATCAATATAGACTATTAGGAATAATTTATTAAAACCAACTACATTATCATTAACATCGTTAAAATTCTTCGTACACTTATATATATTTGTATTACCGGTAGTCGAATCAATTGTTTGTCTTCATATTGAAAAGATGGTAGGACTTGAAGAACAATCATTAAATTCACAATTAGTACCTAAATATTTACTACTAATTTCATAAATATTATTAAAATCCAACAAAAGAAAAAGTTTACCTTTCTTTGACATTGTTGTGATAAGAAATAAAAACGGCAGAATTCTACATAGTACAAATCGTAAAGAAAAGCATTTCAACTACATTAATACAATAACGAAACTTATCGACAAAATTTTGAATCATGCTATTTGTATTGTTACAGCTAAAAAAATACGATATCTTTTTAATTTTATGAAAAAGAAAATAATCATAAATAGTTTTAAAAACATCTCGTAAGATATTTTCTATTGTGTCATCTATTTGAAACTCAAAATAACGGTTTCAACTTTATGAAACATTCTTCAAAGCAAATATTATCAATTGATGACTAAAGATACAACACAAATATTGATCTCATATTCAGTTTGACATTTTCGATCGGAAGAGATCTTGAAACTAAGTTACTTTCTTGCAATAATGTCTATGACCAAAATATAAATACAAATAACATGTGGAGTTTATATTAATTTTCAACAGATGATGCAAATGATTTATTTCGTATTATGATATTTATGCCGAAAATTATTTATATAAATGTATTTCAAAAAAGAACAAGTTCTTAGTTGAAATTGAAATGAAAGGGTTATTTCGAGGTTTGACAAAACAATACATAATCTAAACATCAATTATGTATAAATTACTTACGAGGCAAGATCCTTAACTGATCAATCGCTTTTGCATTGAGACAATGTGCAATATGTAGGTACAAAGAAACTATGAATATCTTGAAGAAAGTTCGGACTGATAGTTTGGTCGTACGAAGATATTGCATTTTTACGGTATGTTTTTTAATGAATGTCGTGTTCCCTCTCAGGAGCATCAGAAAAAGTGATTTTCGAATTTCGACTTGGAACTTTATGTAGAAACAGAACTTATCGAGAATAGTATTCTATAAATATTTCAGATCTTTCGATTAGCTCCTCTCTTGAAAGGCGAGCATCAAATCTTCTGGTTTATCCGAATGAAGTTATCATATCTGTAAGTATGAATAGCAACAGCAAACAAGTCTGAAGGGTGGGTGTGCGTGGGTATTCTATTGTCTAGCCATACCCACATCCTATTTTTTATGTGTTTATGTAATATTAACCAATTTGATTTCGATGAGTTGATTAGTTTTTACAGACATATTTCTGATAAATAATTAAAATAAATTTAAATTGATAATCGACCTTTAAGATTTATTTAGTTAAAATCAAATAAAAATTTAATATTGAAATGTTTCCATCGAAATTAATTGAATTTTTATGTCGAGATTGAGTTAAACTATATTCAAATATTTAAGATTTGCTTTTATCAATTACAATTATCCGGAAAAAATCTTATAAATTTTTATAACTGATGAAGTTGTAAACTAGAAACGAAACGTCACAGCATTTTAAACAATAATAAATAAAAAACCAACACTTAGTCAAATGAAAATTATTTAAATAATCAGAAAGATAGCCTATAAATGTCAACAGACATATTGTGAATGTACCATTCCAGAATGGTTTTTTCTCTGGATTCAGATGAAGAAATTTTTTCTTACAGTTCTTAAGTGTTTTTCCCAAAACTTGGTTTCTCCGCAACAAATTGAAACAAATTCTATCGGCTCGGAACAGAGCTAACTTTCATATTTAATTGCTTCGTTATGCTTATATTGAACAACATGTCCATTAAAATGCTTGTAACAATTGAATAGAAGGAAATTTCAAAAATTCCGTCCGATGAAAAATTGCACACAAAAGCTAGTTTTAGTTTGAATGCAGTCCAAACTCTGTACTCTTTATAACGATGGAGTTCTTTCAATTTTCTTCGACAGTAGGAAAACAAGCCAGAAATTCGATCTAATTAGGCATATCATGCTGAGATTTTTACCACAAGTCTTTTTCATTAGGACCAATTGTTTCTGAACATTTTGTTGAGAAATTAATGCTGAGAGGATCTTAATATATTATTATAAAACAAGTATAATATATAATCAGAATTCATTGTTATTATTAGTAAAACTTGACAATTATCATTTGAAATATTATTCAAAGGTAGTAAATTTCTTATAACTAAAACGTTTTGTTTATTGTTTATTAAGTCGGAAAAAAATGAGAACTATTTATTTGGCTAATGATCGAATCTGACGTACTAACTGACCGATATGGAAACAAATTGAAAAACCTTCATAGAAACTAATAACAATTTAGAATATAGTTCTTACTTAACATATGAATTTATCTTATGTTAAATTTAGTGTATCAAATTAATCAAATAATAACTAGTCGTTGGTTTTTGTTTTGATATTTTTTCGACATTTTCATTTCATAAGTATTTAGTTTCATAATTCTATAATTCAATATATTAGCTATCGCATTTTAATAAAATCGTTTAAATTTCATGAATAATTAAATTAATTGAGAATTCTATTTAGATTTCTCATTATTTGTTTATTTTAAATTGAAAACATCATTTTGAGATCTTTAAGCTACAGCTTTTAATATAGCATCAGATACAAAGGAAATGAGACAAATGTTGACTCTTATGACTCAGCAATAGGGAGTTGCTGAAAGAAAATCAATATTGGCAAGAAGATAGGAAACACTTTCATTATTCGAATCATATATAAATTATTTTTGTTTTATATTCATAAACAAAGCAGTGTAACAACAAAATGAAGTCTCTTCAATAAAAATATTCTGAAAAAGAGTATTTTTTCATCAGTGGATAAGAAACTTTCTCGTCAGTGCAATAGTATACAACTTGTATTTGTCAAAGAATCGTAAGGTAGATGAAACGAGAAATGAGAAAACATTAGTACAAGAAAATTTTGATCTCAAGTCAAAAAATCAAATGTAGGATGAAATTAAATCGTACCAAAAG